AAACCACATCTGGAACAATAGCTACAATTAGATTATGAACTAAAGGACTGATAATCCATTCCATTCTCTGAGGTCTGGGCCAGCTAGCAGGAGTAGAGGGACACATGGAATGAGCCATAAACTCCAAACTTAAAACTTAGTGTTTGCCAGACTTGGCAGTGTCGATCTTGGTTTACTGTCTGCATGGTGAGAGGACAGTGATTCTGTGGTGGATCTTCTTCCATTCTTTATTTTACACCCCTTCTCTAAACCACTGCAGTTAAGGCCTGAAGCACAGCTAATGATGCAGCCCTGTGTTTTGGGGTTGTCCTGTTCAAATGAGATTGTGTAAGTTACAGTACACTGTGGGGGCAGCAGAGATGCCTGAGAGGTTAAGAGCACTTGATATTCTTGCAGCAGATCCAGGTTCGGCTCCCAGCACCCATATCGGGCCACTCACGAGCTCCTGTAATTCCAGCTTCAGGGGCTCTGACTTCTGGTCTCTAAGGGCACCTGCACTCACATGGCATATACTTGCACACAGACACATACACCCATAAATATATTTTAAAGTACATTGTAAGTAGGAAATAAGGAATAATGATTAGCTTTAATCACCTTTTCTCCCTCTTAAATAGAAAAAAAAAAAACCCGAGAAGCTAGAGGGATGGCTCAGTGTTAGCAGCATTTGTTCTTTCAGAGGACCAGCATTCAGTTTCCAGGACCCACTGTGTGGCTCACAACTGCCATTCAGCGTGTCTCTCATCAAGCTTAATCACACTTCAGAACCTCAATCCCCTTCTTCAGGAAGCCTTACTTTTTTACCTTTCATCTTTTGAGATAGCTTCACCCTATAGTCTGGGTTAGACTGCAAGTCCCCATGTAGACCAGGCTGCTCTCAAACTTGTGGCAATTCTCCTGCTTCAGCCTCCTTCCTAAGTTTTGGGGTCACAAGACTGAGGCACTGCACTGGGTAGAGTTCTCTGTGACTGTCAGGTTTTGTCATCAGGTTTTCTTTCCTGGCAGCTGGTCTAGAAAGCCTTCAGGACAAGAACTATATGGGTTAATAACTTTGTTTGTGCTACTGGGGATCAAACTCAGGGCTTTGTCCATGTAAAGACAAACTCTCTACCAACTATAACCACAGTTTTGGGGTATCTTTGTATCATCCACAAAACACTTTGAGTTCAGGTTTTTGCTGAATTAATGTTAACAAAAAATAAAAGAGTCAAGCATGAAGGCACAAGCCTTTCGTCCTAGCACTGGGGAGGCAAAGGAGGGTGGTTCTCACGGAGCTTGAAGTCAGTCTGGTCTAGATATTGAGTTCCAGCCAGAGTTGAATAGTAAGATCCTGGCTACAAATAATAATAATAATAATAATAATAATAATAATAATAATAATAATAGGGGCTGGAGAGATGGCTCAGTGGTTGAGAGCTTTGCCTGCTCTTCCGGGGGTCCTGAGTTCAATTCCCAGCAACCACATGTGCTCACAACCATCTGTAATGAGATCTGGTGCCCTTTTCTGGTCTTCGGGGACACATGCAGGCAGAACACTGAATACATAATAAATAAATAAATCTTTAAAAAAATAATAATAATAAAGGTTGAGGATGTAGATATGTTGCTAGAGTGCTTGCCTAGCATGCACACAGCCCTGGATCTGACCTCAGTACCACATAAAACTGAGTGTTCAGCCTATAATCCCAACACTCAGTAGAGGGAGGCTGACCAGGAGTTTAAGGTCATCCCTTCTTTTTTTTTTAATATTTATTTATTATGTATACAATATTCTGTCTGTGTGTACGCCTGCAGGTCAGAAGAGGGCACCAGACTCCATTACAGATGGTTGTGAGCCACCATGTGGTTGCTGGGAACTGAACTCAGGACCTTTGGAAGAGCAGGCAATGCTCTTAACCTCTGAGCCATCTCTCCAGCCCCAGGTCATCCCTTCTATATAGCCTGTTGGAGTCTGCCTGGGCTACATGAAATACTCTCAAAAATAATAATAAACTAAAATGTATGATCCCCCCCCCCAAATAAGATGGGGGTGGTGATCCATGCCTTTAATCTTAGCACTCAGGAGCTAGAGACAGGCAGATCTCTGAGTCTGAGGCCAACCTGTTCTATAGAGCTAGTTCCAGAACAGCTAGGGCTACACAGAGAAACCCTGTCTCAAAACATCAAAAGAAAAAAAAAGTCTAACCTTTTGGTCTAATGAATTTAGAACTTGGGCCTATCAACAAAAGAGAAATATGTATGTATACTAAGTATGTATGCATACGCAAATTTCTTTGCTATCCTGTTAGGCTGTAAGGGGAGAGACTGTAGGAAGAATAAGGGGCATCCTTCTCATTCACACACAAGTCCACCCACCACCCTGAAGATTGTACAAAAGAAAACCCCAACACAAATAGTCAAGTTAGAGATGCCACCTCCAAGAAGGTGGTAGAACAGGTGACCATATGGCATACATGGGCCACTTCACCACAGTGTTCTCTTAGGAAGCCAGTTGTCATCCTCTAGTGACAGTCAAGACAAGGTCTTTCAAACAGGCTGTGCACTCTGAAAGACCCATGTCAACAGTGGACTGGAACCTGCCTCTTTGAAAGCTCTTTTATTCTCTAACTCTTCAGACGCATGGTTGGCAGAGGAGGCCTTTACCTCCTCTGCTGTGTCTTTGGAAAAGGCTCCTCTCCAGACCTGGGATTTCCTCCTTGGCAGAATGGACAGGCCAGTTCATATCTCTCCTGAGGAAAGAGCTGTCTTCCCCCAGTACTTAAGTCAAACATGTTCCCTACAGCTCACAGGTGAGGAACGGACACCTTAATTGTCAAACCACTGCCCCCAAGAGTTCGTGCCTCGAGGCTGGAGAGATTGTTAGGAGCACTGGCTGCTCTCTGGAGGATCCAGGTTCAATTCCCAGATCCCACATGGCAGCTCCCAACTGTCTATAACTCCAGTTCCAGAGGATCTGACACTCTCACACAGATATACATGCAGGCAAAAACACCAACGCACAGAAAATAAAAATAAATAAATCACTAAAGGAAAAAAAAAGAGTTCCTGCCTCAGGGCTGGAGAGATGGTTCAGTGGTTAAAAGCATTCCCTGCCCTTCCAAAGGTCCTGAGTTCAGTTCCTGGCAACCATCTGTAATGAGGTCTGATGCCCTCTTCTGGCCTTCAGGCATACACGCAGACAGAATATTGTATACATAATAAATAAATTAATATTAATATGAAGAGGGCATCAGACCTCATTACAGATGGTTGTGAGCCACCATGTGGTTGCTGGGAATTGAACTCAGGACCTTTCGAAGAGCAGGCAATGCTCTCAACCTCTGAGCCATCTCTCCCGCCCAATATATATTTTTTTTTAAAAGTTCCTGCCTCACTTTAGGCAGACCCATCCGAAATGGAGTCATCTCTGCCTGACCCCTGTCACAATGGCACTCCCACAGAAAGGCACAGGAAGACTGCAGACCATTTGAAAACAAAGGCTATAAAGTTTATTAGTTCTTTTCTGTCTCCCCACAGAAACTTGTATTCCATACTGTCATGGCCCAGGGCATGGGCACCTTTGAGTAAGAAACCAGCTGAGGATTCTGAGGTTATCTGGAGAGAACTGCCCTTCCTTTAGGTACAACAGCCACTTTGTGATTCCCAAGACTTCTTGCCATCCTGCACACAACACAGCCTCTCCTCTGAAGCCCTCTTGAGTTACAAGGCTGATCCCATCTTCTAGTGCACTGTGGCAGGGTTGGAGTTCCTGGGCTCTCTCCCAATTCTACCAGGCCTGAGGGTTCTTCACACATATCCACCTGCCCTCCCCCCGCCCCCAATCCCCACACTCTCTGTGCTTTACTTAACATCACAGCCCTCCACACCACCAGCAGTGCATATTCGGAGCCCTCCTGTGGCTTCCTGCTGCTTGAGGAACATCAGATGGGCCTTCACCATCTCACTCCGTACCACACCCTGACCAGCATGCCAATCCCTCAGAGGGAATGGCTGCTCCTTCAAATGCTCTCCCATACCAACCCAGCTCTACCTGCTCCTTTCAGAAAGCTGTTGATAATTATTCTGGTTAGAACCAGCCTCCCTTCTCCAGCATAGGACTTTCCCAAGGTGTCCAGGAGACTATTCATTTCACTATTTCCTGGTGGGGGAATCTGTCTCCTGAGCTAAGGAAAGACAATCCTGGAGACAAGATCCTGTCAGACACCCTCTTTCATGGGGCTCAGTGTTTTGTGCATAATCTAATGGACCCTCATGGAAATGTCTTATTGGACACAAAATGAGATATCAGTTTCCAGGAAAGATATGTATCCTGCTAGGAATGGACTTCTTCCCAAAGAGCCCTAAATGCTTTCATCAAATATACACTTGGGGCCCCAAGATGGGTTGAGAATGAATGAACTGAGAGCATGGGCGGCCATCAAGGTTTCACCCATCAGCTGCCTGGAAGAGCAACTCTGCAAGCCTTGCTCCCGGAATCGTTTGTATTCTCAGACTTTTCCCAGGAAGCACCACTAGAGCTCTGAAAACAGCCCTTCTACAGCTCATCAGGACATGCAGAGGGCAGCTCAAGGTTCGTAGCAGACATCTCGGGCAGAGTTACCTGCTGTTTCTAGCTGTGGGCTTTGGGAACTTCCTCTGTGAAAGGTGTCAAGACTGGGAGGCTCTGAAGGATCAAAATGCCAAGCTCCTACTAACTTTGCTCCGTTACAAGCTTCATTGCTGAATGTTTCCTACTTCTCTGGGAGGAACAGAATAAACATCTGGAAGCCGGGCGGTGGTGGCGCACGCCTTTAATCCCAGCACTCGGGAGGCAGAGGCAGGCGGATCTCTGTGAGTTCGAGACCAGCCTGGTCTACAGAGCGAGTTCCAGGACAGGCTCCAAAGCCACAGAGAAACCCTGTCTCGAAAAACCAAAAAAAAAAAAAAAAAAGAAAAAAAAGAATAAACATCTGGAAAATTATGACAAAAATGACAGGCAGCCACTGGCATTTGTGTTCTCATTTGTAGTTTCAAGGTTTTGTTTTGCCTTTTAATTTTTTTTTCCTAGAAAAGAAAAACACAACCAGAGAAATTTATATGATAAACTATAGTGTCATAATGGAAGGGGAAAGAGAAAGAAAGGCCAGAGGAACGGGAAGCTAGTAAAAAGTGGATTCCAAATCACAAGGAACAGTCCACAGGGCGAGTCCTCATTCACTTTGGCATGCATGTTTGGTGCCTGGTCTTCTGGCCTGCTCCCTCAGATGCCACAGTGGAGAGAGCTGGCCACACACTTCAGAAACCTGCCAATGATGAGCTCAGGACTTCACAGAAAGGTAGTCTTAATTTAGCTCCTTGATTTTGTGCTCAGGCCTCACCTGGCGGCTTTCTTGCTTCAGAGAAGGTCTGGAAGAATGGGAGAGTCACACTGGGGCACACTTTGGCATCGCAGCAGGGAACTCCAAGAAGACGCTTTCTTACGGGCACACTTGGTCTTCATCTGCACAGCCGTTTGTCCACATATTCCCCACTCCTTCGGGCCAAAGAACGGGGAGGTGATAGTCTTGTAGTCACAGTTCAGTGACTGTATTCAGTCTCCATTCTTGCTCAAAATGTCTGTTGTCTTATGGGTGAGAGGAGATTGTAATCCATCTCCCTTTCAGCTAGCACTAGACTCTCACTCCAAAGGAGCTCATCAATGAACAAGAACAGCTTGCCTATCTGGATCCAAGCTGCAGGCCTCTCAAGTCCCACCTACCTTATGCCCCAGGTCTCCAGGCAAAACAACAAAATAGACAAATAAACAATAAAATTGGACCCAAGGCAAATAGAATAGCTAGAGTAACAGCCCAGTAGCACACCGCAAGACCAGCATACATTCCAGAAGGGGAGAGGGGCATGCAGCAAGCTGTAGCCCCAAGTCACAGACTAGGGGACACATTGAAGGCTACAGTCGGGCCTGCACATCTGACAGGGTCCTGACACCAACCTGATGCACCTCTGTGTGGAGTACTACTGTGGAGAGTGGAGGGTCCTGCCCTGCTTGGCCCCTGTGCCTGAAACTGAGGCCAGGTTACATCTCAGTGCCACAGTTCTGAGGAGCACCACACTGGCCAGCCAGCCAGGCCATAGTTCTCAGCCCCGCGGGGGCCATGTGGCCCTAATTCCACAGAAAGGCCCCAGGGAGCCACAGCTGCCTGGAAGAAGTCAGGACACAAAGACTGCATTCTATTGGAGAGACTGGGAGAAGTGACTATAGGCTTAGAGAGAGTTATGGCCCAAAATATTGCAGAGTCTAAGGGATGGGCTCCATTTCTGAACAACAACAACCATATCCATGTTTTAGAGAGCATGGCTGCTATTGCTTGGTTTTGTTTTGTTTTTTCCTTTTAAAACCACTCACATTAAAAGACGAAGGGGCTAGGGCACTCAGTCCCCTTCACTGGGGTCCTCAACAGGATCAGTCTGTTGACTGGTTCTGCTTCCTTGCCTGGCTCCAACCACAAGAAGCCAGGGCAGAGCAGGAGGGCAACAGCAATCCCTTCTCTCCAGAAAACCAGAGCACACATGAGGAGTGGCCCAGAGGCTAAAGTGCAGAGGATCCACAAAGTGGACAGCTGGGTTTAGGGCACTCTAGAAGGAATGAGTCAGCCCACACACAGAAGTGGCACAAATGCTGGGCCTGGCAAAGTGAACCTACATGGCACAGTCCCCTTCCCTTTGTGCCCTGTTGGCACCTCTCTCAGAGACTGTCCACTACCAGCAGCAACCCAAGGAAAGTCCCAGTTCCAAAACCACGCCCCACGGAGGGAGGAAACTTGCCTGACCATCCCTGGGTAGAAGGAGCTAGTGAATAGGAAAGGAGCAGAGGGTTCTGGGAGGGGAAAGAGTACATTGTATAAAATTAGAGTCCCAGCTCTGCAGAGCAGGGACAAATGGACAACCCTAAAGGCTGGGAAAGATTTGGTGAAGATGGTCAGGGTCCTACCAGTGAGACCTGCTGGGGGAAGTGGCTCTTCTGGGTGTAAGAGGAGCTGTGGCACTGGGGGAAGGGCTGCTGAGGAAGAGAGCCCAGGCTGGCATTAGGGTGTGTAGGCTGGAGGTGGCTGGAACTGGTTGATGACTTCATACTCTGCTGGGTAGGGGTCATTCTCTTCCATCTCAGATAGGAGCTCCAGTGCTTGCTCTTCTTCCTCTGTTGGATAGTGGCGCAGGAGGTTGGCTGCAGTAGCCAGGATTGAGGCTCCACCAGCTCCTGCCACCAGGTAGAAGCTAACAGCAAAGGTGACATAGACTTGGGAGCCGTGGTACTTCTTATGCTGCTGCTGCAGGGCCAGGATGAGCTCAGAAGCCCAGTAGGAAAAGCCAATGACAGTAGCACACTGTAGGACTGGGAGACAGAGGGACAGCACAGAACGGGATCAGCAGTCAGGATGCGTAAGGAATCAATCACAGCCTCTCTCACCCGGTTCTCAGAGGACTTGCCTGGCCCAAGGTCCTAAGAACTTCCTTGACTATGAGATTCTTGGCTTGGAACTGAGGAGTTATCCAACCATCCTGACTAGCAGGGTCTACTTGAAGGATTATTGTTCAATGGTAGGGAACTTGCCCAACATACACAAGGCCCTGGATTCAATCCCCAGTACCATCCATACCATCCAAAAAAAAAGGGAAAAAGAAAAGAAGGGATTTACAATTAGATAATAAGGCTCCTGGATACTTCTGGGTGCTGAGAAGAACAGGTAAGATCATGCAGTTTTAGACACTGAGTTGAACTGAAGTCAATCACTATCAAAAGCCAAACTGACACCCCAGCCCAGGCCTGGGTGAGGAAAGTAGATACATACAAGCGGAGAAGGCAAACCTGGCAGGGAGGTAGACTTGGTGGGAGAAACTGACCATACACAGAAGTCAGGCAAGACAGCCCAACTCCTTCCATGCTTACACCAAGCCCTGAATTTCTATGAACTTCAATTGTCATTTTTAGAGAGCCATGAGATTCCTGTGGAATTCTAACACTCCCTCTAGTCCTAGGCAAATTATTCACAAATGACAGAAACCAACACTAAGGCACCCCATGCCCTGAAAGGCTAGAGTTAATCACAGAGAAGCAATCCCATGGACCACTATGCCCCGGGGCATCCTCTCCCACACGAGTAGATCCTTACCAGTGAGGATGTGAGCGAAGGCATAGCGACGAGTAATCTTCAGAGCTGGATGCTTGGGCCCAAAGACGTCCAGAAGGAATGCAGAGAGACTACACAGGATGCCCAGGAAGCAGAAAGCAGCAATGACTCTCAGGAGCAGCACTGTCTGGGGGTTCATGCAGAAATCTGTAGAGAGAGAATGGAAGCTTTATGCCCAAGAAACACCCCGAGGCAGGCAATGTACCTAAAAGGATCTTGGTTTCAATTCCCCCCCAGACCCTGGGAGCCAGAAGCCCTGGGGGCTCTGTATTTGCTCCTGTCACCAGCTGCTCGGTAGAGGCAGGGGACTTCCATGCTGCAAACAGAAGTCACTTATACACCTCAAGTCTTTTTTCCAACAAAACTAGTCTAGGGTGACTGTATATTTCTTCTCTATTTCTTTTGGAGGCAGGGTCTCAAGGGTCTCAGGCTGACCTCAACCTTGCTGAGCAGGGGTGGAGAATGACCATGAACTTGTGACCTTCCTGCCTCCACCTGTGGAGGGCTAGAATTACAGGCATGAACCACCACACATAATTTTATGGCACAAACCAGGGCATCCTGTATGCTAGGTACTCTACAAACTGAGTGCCATGCCCAGTGTCCACTCTTTCCTCCCTCCTTCTTTTCCTCCCTCTCTCCCTTTCACTTTGCTTTTAAGACAGTCTCAATGTATAGCCCATGCTAGCTTCAAACTCATGATCCTTCTGCCTCAGCCTCCTGAGTATTGGGAATTACAATTACAACAGACCTAGCTTCAGACCATTTTTTAAGATCCTGGCAATCAAGCTGGCATGTTAAGCTATTTTGCTAAAGGATCCTTTGCACCAACAGGGAAAGGCTAGTGACTCTTGAGCTGAACAGAGGTTAATTAATTCCCGTTCTCCACTTACTCACTCATTCCTTCCATTTTCATTCTAAAGCAGACATGGAACTTAGAGACACTGAACTAAGTGAAGTAAGTTAAGTCAAATACAGAGGACAAACACTGTGATTCTGCTCATGAGACACCAAGAAGTCAGAATCACGAACGTAGAGGATATGGTGGCTGCCAGGAGCTGGAGAAAGGGAGGGCAAGGTGTGGGTTGATTCTGAGTTTTCAGTTTGGGGTCATGAAAAAGTTCTGGAAATGGACGGTAATGAAGACTAACAATGACGCAAATATGCCACTGAGCTGAACAGTGCTTCACCCTTGTAATCCCAGCACTTGGGAGGTGTTACCATGAGGGTCAAGAGTCCAAGCCCAGTTTCTGCTACTTAGCAAATCTGAGGCCAGCCTGGGCTTCCTGAGACCACCCTCAAAAGGAGGAGAGAAGACTTGGATTAGGACTAGACAGCTGAAATGCAAGGCAGCGGGGGAAAGCTAAGAAGTCGCACCAAGAGAGCCCTGGAAAGCTCGGAAAGGACAGCATGTAAATGCCACCAAAATAGGGAGTAGACCAAGCAAAAGGAAGCGCTAAAACAGGAGTCCCCAGGGTGACAAGCATGTACCAAACAAGGAATTAAATAGCTTCTTTAAAAATTTTCAATTAACAATACTGTCGATCTCTTTGAAAGTAATGGAAACTTTGACGGCTTCCTGAAGCACAGAATGGAATAAAAACTGATCAAAGAAGGAGCCAAAGGCAGGTCGTGTTGGTGCCCTTGCTCAGAGGCAGAGCTCTCTGAATTAGAGACTAGTCTACATAGTGAGTCTCAGGTCAGTCAGGAGTACATAGTGAGACCCGGCTTTAAAAAAAAAAAAAAATGAAGCTGTGTGGTGGCATACACCTTTAATCCCAGCACTGACGCAGGTGGATTTCTGTGAGTTCAGGGCTAGCCTGGTCTACAAGAGCTAGTGCCAGGACAGGCTCAAAGCTACAGAGAAACCCTGTCTTGAAAAACCAAAAAGAAAGAAGAAAGAAAGAGAGAAAGACTTTAATCTCAGCACTTGGGGGGGCAGAGGTAGGAGGTTCTCTGTGAGTTGGAGGCTAGTCTTGTCTCCTGAACTAGTTCCAGGACAGCCAGGGCTACATGAAAGAAACCCTGTCTTGAAAACAAAAACAAAAAGTTTAAAGAAGGAAACAAGTCTTCACTTTCTCTTCCTCCTCTTCCTCAGCCATTGCCAAGTGCTTTCATTTAGGCCATAGGTCACTGAGTGATTTAGGAAAAACTGGATAGAGCTGGTCAAACTCACAGGCTACAGGCTCCTTTCTTGAATTTTGATGTCAAGTTCAGAATCTGAAGGTGATAATCTTCCCTTTCTAGCACACATCCCGATCACTGAAGTGCTGCTGCAACCATGTACCAGGCTCCTAGAAGGTCTGGGAGCATAGAAAATCCCCATACAAGTAGTCCAAGTCTCCAGTCCCCCAAAAACACCAGTACTAGATACCAGAGGAAGGTAGACAGATGGAGGAAAACCAAGAAGCTAAGTGGTGGACCCACTGCCAACAACAAAAATTCAATCCAGCAGATGCTGGCCATGATGGAATCTTGAGCAGTGGGAGATGCTAAGCATTTGTGACTGACATATGTACTCAGCCTAGGACTCAAAATTCTCCAGGTAGAAGCTGGCTGAGCCCAGACAAGACTCAGGTGCCTCCACCTGGCTGCCTTCAGAGCTATCTGTTATGATCTTAACTGCAGATGGCTCAAGCATCCAGCTTGGGTGATTTCCTACTGCCATGAACTTTGCCTATCCATGAGTTCTGCCAGAAGCTAGCATCTGCCCTCATTGCTTCCAGCACTGCCTACTCCAAACACCATAAAGATTCTAGAGGGGCCTAGGAAGAAAGGTTTGAGGGAGCAAGGGCTGACACCTGGCTCTGATGTGAACATTACCGAAAACTGAATCAATTATTTTTGGGGTCTGCATGGCATGTGGGAATGCTGGGGCAGGATTCAGTGTTCCAATGCCACCAAGAGTGGAGACAGGGTGTAAGGGGTGACATCACGGGCCACATTGCAGCAGCTCACCTGCATTACTCTGTGCAGCCAGGCACTCTGTGTGAAGAAGGAGACACGAGAAGCTTCAAAGACATGGGTTTTTGTTTCTTCTGATGATGGGTGAACATATTAAACATGCGCCTGATATATCCATGCCTATGTGCTTTACATTTTAAAATACTTTTATTTTAATAAACAAGATATGCACATGATAAAAAGCTTCAAGAAAGAGGCCACCTTCCCCCACCTTTCTCTAGAGGCAAGCATGGCTGAAGGTACAGGAGCCTATGCTTGCACACAAATGCGTCAAGCATTATCTTTGCTAAGTTTGACTGCCACCCTGGAAGTCATCACACAGCTCAGATGAGGAGTCAGAAGCTCCAGAAGATTAAGTGACCTCCTCCAGGTCACACAGTGACCCCCAGACACTGCATCACACAGCTCAAATGAGAAGGCAGAGGCTCCGAAAGGTTAAATGACTTCCTCTGGATCACACAATGACCCCTGGATACTGCACTGTGCTGCTTGGAAACCGCTAAGCACCCACTGGCGGCTTTTATTATTTCCTTGATGGAGATAATCAATCAAACTCTAAGGAGGTGTACTGAGAAGAAGGGTCAGATGAACTAGCATGAACGCTATCCAAGACAGCAGCTGCTGAGCTCATGAAAACAGCAGCTTGAGGACTCAAATTCCATTAGCAGTAACAACAACAAAAAGGCAGAAAGGTATGGATCACTAGTGATGAGCAGTGCTCACACAGGGACGTCGGGCAAAACTGGCTTCATATGGTGTTTAAACCCCTACAGCACCGAGGGCATCTGAGCACAATTCTGGTCAGGAGTTAAAACACATAAAAACTCTATACCTAGTCAAACACTAGGTCTACCACAGGCCACAGTCAATCTTCAGCAAGTCAGTAGATGGCCTGTCTCAAAGGCCCTGCCTCCCCCACAGACAGGTGCTAGGAGGGAACGCAGTCCCCTGTTCAGGCAGACTGGGTAGAGTGGTTCTGCATGGAGGACAGGAAGGGCTTCTGACACCAAATTCAAGCATGTTTTGTTCCAACTGCCTTCCTCTACTCCAAAGCTACAGTGCTTAAGGCCATGGTTCTCCCCCTTCCTAATGCTGCTGCTGCCCTTTAATAGTCCCTCATGTTGTGATGACCCCAACCATAAAATTATTTTCATTGCTGCTTCATAACTGTAATTTTGCTACAGTTAAGAAATGAAATGTAAATATCTGGTTTTCCAATGGTCTTAGGCGACCCCCGTGAAAGGGTCGGTGGACCCACAAAAGGGTTGCAACCCACATATGGGGAACTGCTAGCTTAAGGGGAAAGCCAAACATGAACTTCCCTTTGGGTGGTGCTAACACTGCCAGAGAGAAAAGGGGTGCAGTGTCTTAGCATGAGGTAAGACAGAAAGACAGCTCTGATCAAGAGCATCCCTGATCAAGCCTTCTCCTGACTTCCTTTCCTAAATACCAGTGTGGTATTTAGGAAGCGCAAATAACACTCCTCCTTTCCCCAAGGGGCCTTCCAGAGACACTAAAGCCCCAAAGACTAGGTAGGTATGAGTGACTTACTGTGGGAGAGAAATGCCATGTGGGACAGTGTCTTTTTTTTTTAATTTATTTAACTTTATTTTATGTGCATTGGTGTGAAGGTGTCAGATCCCCTGGAACTGGATTTTCAGACAGTTGTGAGCTGCCATGTGGGTGCTGGGAATTGAACCCAGGTCCTCGGGAGGAGCAGTCAGTGCTCTTAACCGCTGAGCCATCTCTCCAACCCGTGGGACAGGGTCTTGACTTAAAATTTGAGCCAGATATCTCCATTCCAGATAGACAGCAGTTGTATTCTGCCCTGTTTATTTTGGTAAACACTGCTTGACTGTCCCTTCCAGTCATCAGGGAAGCAGGCAGCTGCTCTGTAATCAGATCCCAAGGAACTGACTTTGACCAAGGTCACTGGTGAGTCACAGGACTGGATTTGTTTTGAATGCCCTAGCTCTTCCCATCTACCTGTGTCTGTGGTTGACCCCCTCTTGACCTACGTGGACTGACGGCAGAAAAGCTAAAATGGTTTCAGACCAGCTTCCTGCTATTCTTCCTTTCCTCCTTCTTCACTGAGGATCCTGTGGGCTGGAGGACTCCTCACTGCCCCATCTCTCTGAGCACATTCTCCTCAGCTCGGCATCCCTCACTCGAACTCTTCGTTGTCAGCCAAATCTGGCACAAGCCACCAATAGGGCAAACTAGTGTCCAGATGGGTCATCTTACAGATGTCAATGGTGCCAGGCAAGCCACCCAAGAGCAGCCCCCCAAGGGCCTGGTGATGACATCAGAATCTGTCACCACCCAACAGGTGCACAGGCCCTCCATCCTTTGTCCTTCAGTAGCTGTTGTCAATCTTGAGTCACCTGACAGCAAATCCCAACTTACTCATTCTCCAAAACTGCTTCCTGAAGCTGGTGGCGGAGCTGCCCTTGCTGGCCACACTAGAGAGGCAAAGGCCATTCAGGCCTAAAAGTCTAGGCATTTCTAAGCCTTTTCTGGACCTAAGCCCAGAGAAGCTATGTGAGAGGATTCAGAACAGAATCTGTTGAGCTGGCATTTGCTAAAGCATCTGGTCACACAGCAAGGGTGAGTGGCTTTGCCTCAGGTTCACCAAGCTGAGCTGAAACCTGAGAGATAGTTCAGGCACTAAAAAGCACAGCTCTGGCTGGGCTTGTGATAAAAAAAAAAAAAAAAAACAAAACAACAGAGGCTTTGGCTTCCCGAATCTCCCTTCTGCTTTGCAAAAGGTCTTTTTTCGGTGTGTGCCTTGTGTGTGTGCATTTCCTCACGCCTAATAAAAGCTTTCTTTCACTGGCAAAATACAACAACAACAAACCCCCACTCAATCAGAAGAGCAAATGGTAAGTTTCATATAGCTCTAACAGAAAGAAAAAGGAACTCAGTGCACTAAGGGGGTGGTGGTAAGAAGAGCGTGGACTTCAGAGTCGCAACTTGGATTGGCTGTGTCTCTTAGTTCATTACCTGCTCTCCCTGAGCTGGGGCCTTTGTAAATAAGGGTCAAATTAAGGAAATGTGAAGTGAGCTTAGCTCCATGCCTGGTACACAGGCTTGCTTTGGAGCCCTCTGACCCACCTCACTCTGTTACCTGCAGAGACCCAGCAGGGGTGTTTCCCTCTGCAAGCATCTATAAGCACCATATTTGCCCAGCACAGTTCTACTCCCTCCTGGACTGGACTATTCCAGGACTCCAGGGTAGATGTCTGGTAGACCAGAAATCAGCAGTCACAAAGGACACCATATGCCTGAAGGTCCACAAGGCACACAAAACACTCAGGTAGAGAGCAGCAGAAGAGAAGCTACAAGAGACCAGATTCCTGGCCTTCTGCAGTGGCTCACAAGGCCCCAATGCCAATGCTTCTATTTATAGACAGGAGCTAAGTGATCCTGGCTTACGATGGCCAAGGAGGTGAGCAGCGCAGGCAAACCATGTATGGGCTAAGAGATCTAAACACACAGCAAATGCAATGTAAAGGTTAAGACAACATATTTGAAAAGGACAAAATTGGTCTGAATAATTTCTTACAGAGGGCAAATGCATCTGTGAACAAACAAAAACTTGAACCGAGAACTGATTTTTATTTTAACACGCCTTCGACAGGAACGTACACCAAGGCAGCGTGTCTTGAGAGCCTTCTTTACAACAGCCAAAGTAAAGCATGGGATAAACATAATTAAGGAGACAGCACCATTTTATTCTAGCATCAACAGATGGGAAGCAGTATCAGTGAGCAGCAGGGCTAGCCTCGGGAGCTCGCTTTGCTTTTCTTCCTGGACCTCGGAAACAAGGATGTAAGATCAGACTACCTCTCTCCATGCCATCTGAACGTTATGACCCTCCCACTCCAGGGATGACCTACAAAGGACAATCATCATAAACTCTTTCCCAGTCTGTGTGTGAAACAGTCAGCTCCTGAAACAGAAACATCAAGGCATCAAATGCAAAAAGGCCTGAATGCAGGTGAGTGCAAGAAATGGGAAAGCAGCCAGATTCAAACTCCACAGCCTTGTGTCATCAGGTGCTGAGAAAAAGGCCTCCATCCAGTGCATAACCTTGGTCTTAAAGAGACAAACTCAGCAAGAGGGTGAAAAAAAGAAGTCTCAAACCAGAAGCCTCCACCATGTTCTCTATTAAATAAAAAAAAAAAATCATTCTAAAGCCTTGAATGTGCAAAGAGAAGGGAACTGTTAAGAGAACTCACCAAGAAAGACAACAGTAGGTGACGGGATAAGGCTTTTCAGCTTAGACCTACAGTAGTGTTTTTATTCCAATTTAGAGGGGGACACTGCCTTTCATCAGATTCCAGGGCTTGAGCCCTCATGAGACACCTTGCACACATCTAACAGGAATGAACCAGAACTAAAGATGAATAAAGCAACCATCTCAGCCAGGCAGGCATACCTGTAAGGGCATGGAAAGCCAAATTTCAGCTGTTGAGTGTGACGATGGAACTGACGTCTGATGCCCCGGGAGGCCACAAGCACCCTCTTCGATAAGTCCAATTATCACAGAATACTAAAATATCTCTTACAATTAGTCATATTCACAGTTCTCTTTTCTCCATCAATCAAGCTACCCCAAAACAACTTTTCTGCATCTCAAGGGTCTGTTAGAAAGGGGTGGCTAATTGTGATACCTAAGACCCTATTTCTTCTACCTATAAAGGCCCTTCCTCTGGCAAAAACCTAAAACAGCAGCATTCTGGACCAGCATGAGGGTGAGGACTACCTAGGTGCTTGGCTGAATAAAATCAGAATTGATGAGGGGCTAGACCCCCAAACAGAGCCACCTGGTGGGCGTGAATACCAAGAACCAGGCTGTTGCCTTTAACAAATGACTGCCTCGGGTTATCTGTGCTTCAGCCAGTCCCATATCCGTTCTGACCACCCCTCAAGCCGGGAGAGCAGAAGCTCAGTGCCCTCACCTTTCAGCAGATCCGGGTGCACGTAGCCCAGCACGTCCGAGACCCCCAGCTCCTGGCGGGAACAGGTGCCTCCGTGGATGTGCAACCAAGCGGGCTCCGCCAGGGCAGTGCACAGCGCCGTGATGGACAGGGCGCCAGGCAGGGCCGAAGCCAGGCTCCGCTCTGGCTGCTTGGGCAGAGCGCTGCTTCCCGGACTCCTCCGCCGGCGCCCTCCCGGCAGCCCTGCGCCTCCAGGGGCATACATGCCCGGGGCCGCCCGCTGTAGCTCTGCAGTCGCTGCTGATGGCCGCCGACCTCAGCGGGGCGCGCAGAGCCTGTCTGTACCCGGGTGGAGAGCAATGCAATGGGCAGCTGGCCCGGGGGGGTGTCAGGGCCCGCACCAGAGACTGCGGGGTGGGACCCAGGGCTGAGAACAGACCGAAGGACTGCGGGAATTCGGGGGGCGGGGACCGAGGGCTCTGGATGAGGGGTGCTGGACCAGGACTCCGAGAGGGCAAGGGACTAAGTGGGCCGTGGACATGCCAAGATGAACAGGCGCAGGTACTGGGGTCAGCTACTGGCGCAGGGGGCGGAGGAGACTTAGACCGGCATTAATGGACAGAGGGTTGCTGAGGGGCCGCCAGGATCCGGAACCCGCACTTTGAGGTGAGACCTAAACCACAGTGACCCTCCCTACGCTAGTCCCTGCTCCTCACCGATCGGTAGATCTCAGGGCCGGGATGGCGCCGCTCCGCCCGGTCACGGGCTTCTCTGCTGCCCGGGCCAAGCGATCCCAGGCCCCAATCCCGCAACGCCCAGACGGACCCAGGCTGATGCACTTCCGGCTTCCTCCAACCCCACCCCACCCCCTCCCTCTCCTCCTCCTCCGGCTCACGGCTCTGCCCTCTTGGCGCGTCACTGTGTGCGCGCGCCGCCTGTTCTCGCGCGAGGCATCAGGGGACTGGTAGTTCGGGACAGTCCAGTGAAGCTTCCTGTTGTGGAGGGGGAAAGGAAGTGACTACAAGTCCCAGAAGGCCGTGCGACCTCAGCAGCGGGTGCTTCAGTTCCCAGGGCGACACCTCTGTCAGGAACTGGTGCCCTGGCGGCCTCGGGGTCCCACAGTGGCCACCGCGTTCTGCACATTGCTTTCTGTGTCCTCCTTCTCACCCTGAGGCCTCCGTCATGAAGGATTCGCTGGTGCTGCGGAGCCGCGTCCAGGCACACCCGGACTCCCGCTGCTGGTTTCTGGCCTGGAACCCCACGGGGACCCTGCTGGCCTCGTGCGGCGGCGACCGTAAAATCCGCATCTGGGGCACCGAAGGTAAGGCCTGGTTTGGCTTTGTGACTCTGGTGCCATGGGAGACGTTATTCTGAAAAGGGTTTGTCGGGGGAAGGAGTGTGCAAACGTCAACAGTTAGTCTGGGGGATTGTTGCAGCAACTGGGGTATTTGCTGAGGAAGAAAAATGAGAAAAGTAGTCTGAAACTCAATTTGACGCTTTTAAGGAAGTAGTCGTTTGCATCGCTGTAATGGTGCATGAGTTTGTCCCTTCAACAGAGCTTCACCTTCACTACCAGTTACTGAATGGCGTTGATGGTGCTCCAGAGCCTAGCCTGTTCTTTGCCTGTAGGTGACAACTGGGTTTGCAAGTCTGTCCTTTCTGAAGGCCACCAGCGCACTGTTCGGAAAGTGGCATGGTCCCCCTGTGGAAACTACCTGGCCTCTGCCAGCTTTGATGCTGTCACTTGTATTTGGAAGAAGAACCAGGATGACTTTGAGGTAACCAGGCTGGATGTTTGCACACCAAGACTGGGCCACCCTGGACCGTTTGAGTACACCCTTTACTTAATGCTTATACTGTTGAAATTGTAGCTGGGTGTGGGAGTTCATGACACTAATCCCAGCATTTGGGACGCTGAAGTAAGAGGATTCCCAAAAGTCCAAGGTCATCCTGGGCTGTCTCAACAACAAAATTGTGATCTTGGATGTTTTACTAGGGCCTAAGACCTTTAGCTGCCATTAATTCACAATCTTTTTCCCTTTGCAGTGTGTAACCACTCTCGAGGGTCACGAAAATGAGGTCAAGTCAGTGGCTTGGGCGCCGTCTGGCAACCTCTTGGCTACCTGCAGCAGAGATAAAAGTGTGTGGGTCTGGGAAGGTCAGTCCAGGTGCCTCTGGGTACAGTGGAAAACCCGATCCCTGACTTTCAGCTTTGTTCCGGGCAGGGTCAGCTCTTAGGTTCTTTTTTCTCCCACAGTTGACGAAGAGGATGAGTATGAGTGTGTCAGTGTCCTCAACTCTCACACACAGGACGTCAAACACGTGGTTTGGCACCCGAGCCAGGAGGTAAGAGTCAGGCGAGGCGGGAAAGGATGTGATGTGGAGGCTGGTGCCCAGCCTGCCAGCACTCGTCAACATCACCCTCACTATACAGGGATCTTTGGAACTGTCCTGTCCTAGCAGGGTTTCATGTTAGAGCCATACAAACAAATGCTGGCTCTCCTTTCTCACTTTCAGCTTTTAGCGTCCGCCAGCTATGACGACACAGTGAAGTTGTACCGGGAAGAAGGAGATGACTGGGTCTGCTGTGCCACCCTTGAAGGTCATGAGTCCACTGTATGGAGCTTGGCCTTTGACCCCAGTGGCCAGCGGCTAGCATCTTGCAGTGATGACCGTACTGTGCGCATTTGGCGCCAATATCTACCAGGCAATGAACAAGGTGAGGGTCCAGGAGTCAAAGGAGACTCCTTTCCTTAGTTTTATAGTCTGCCAAGATATAGTCTGCCAGGAATCACAAATTGGATTCAATGTTTTGTAGGAGGTCTCCGGAGAAGCACCAAAAGAACTAGGGATAGCTTTGTGGAACAAAGCCTTCCAACAAGATTTGAAGAGGGCATGTAGGATTTGTAGCAGGAGAATGTAACGTAGGATGCCCAGTTGAGCAGAGCAGTGATGGCACAAACCTTTAATCCAACCCTCGGGAGGCAGAAGCAGGGAGATCTCTGTGAGTTCGAAGCCAGCCTGATCTACAGAGTGAGTTCCAGGACCACCACAGATACACAGAGAAACCCTGTCTTGAAAAGCAAAAGACTCCCAGTTGAAAGCCTACCAGCAATCCCCCACCCCACAAAAAAGCCAAATAACAACAACAAAAAAACCTGCCAAGCAGTGGTGATGCACACCTTTAATCTCAGTACTCTGGAGGCAGAAGCTGGGAACCTGAGTTCAAGGCCAACCTAGTCTACATAGTGAGTTCCAGAACAGCCTAGCCAGAGCTACATAGCTCATGAGACCCTGACTCAAAAAAACAAAACAAAAACCAGAAAGAAAAGAAAACCCAGCAGCATGAGTTGGCTGTGAAGAATGGGATTCCTTGAGGCAAGGCAGAGGATTAGAAAGAGTGAAATTGGTTGGGTTGGCTATTGGGTGCCCTTAAACGGCAGATTAACTTGTTAGATACAGCCTGCAGTAGAATAGGGGTGCTTCCTTCTCAGAATTCTTGGGTGGCAACAGTGTGTAAGGCAGATAAGGAGGGTTGGAACAAGGACTCATCGATTGGCAATGGGATGAGGAAGGGCACATTAGGTTCTCCTTTGCAATGGTAGAGGTTATCAGGACACAGAATGCCTTGGGCTTAAGAAAATTGTGTCCCACAGGGGTGGCATGCAGTGGCTCTGACCCCAGCTGGAAGTGTATCTGCACTTTGTCAGGCTTCCACACCAGGACCATCTACGACGTTGCTTGGTAAGACCTCAATCCCATTCCTAAAGCAGGGATTTTAGAAACGGAATGACCTGTGCTGTTCTGCATTGTTCAGTTAGGCCTACCGTTCTGGTTTATAACTGGCTGGCCTAGGCTTCTAGGAGCAGGAAGATGACTGTACCTAAGACTGTTTCTGGGATAAGATTCCAGGCTTCGAGGGCAGCACCAACCCTTAGGATTTACATAGCATTGGGCAATCCTGAGATGATGGAATATGTACATTTATAACTATGAACTGTGTGGCTTAATAATTGACTTTTGTTTTTGTTTTTCAAGACAGGGTTTCTCTGCAGCTTTTGGAGCCTGTCCTGGAACTAGCTTTTGTAGACCAGGCTGGCCTCGAACTTGCAGAGATCCGAGTGCTGGGATTAAAAGCATGCGCTACCACTGCCCGGCTCAGTAACAGACTCTTACAGAGACTAGAAAAGCTGCTCCATTCTTAGAAGGGTGGAGTTTGGAGGCTCTCGACCTGAGTCTTGGATCTTAGAAATAATTCCAAACCAATGAAAAAATCTGTTACATATCTAAGCTTTATTTATATCAAATGTCTGGGGAATGTCTGTCCCATGAAATTGGACCTGAGTATTTTGACTTCATGGAGAATTAGCCCCTCTCCCCCAAGGCATTAAATTTATGGCACTTTTTTGTGCAGAAGCTAAAATTTACTTTTAGCTAAGGAGATGGGTTTTTGTTGTTGCTTTTGGTTTTTCAAAACAGGGTTTCTCTGTGTAACTCTGGCTGTCCTAGAACTCACTCTGTAGACCAGGCTGGCCTATAACTCACAAGATCCTTCTGCCTCTGCCTCCCGAGTGCTGGGATTAAAGGTGTATGCCACCACTGCCCAGCTAGGAGTTGGTTTTTTGGAGGGGAGGTACTTAATGGCTTAAAATTAAACTTATTTGCCTCTGTGAGCTTGAGGCCAGCCCGGTCTACAGAATTCCAGGACAGCCAAGCTACACAAAGAAACCCTGTCTCGGGAAAAAAAAAAAAAAAAAAAAAAAAAAAAAAAAACAATCAAAACAACAAAAAATTTAGACTTATTTGGGGCTGGCTATATGGCTCAGCAGTTAAGAGAACTGGCTACTCTGCTAGAGGACCTGGGTTCAATTCCCAACATCCACATGGCAGCTCACAATGGTCTGTAACTCTAGTTCCAAGGGATTTGACACCGTTTTTGGCTTCAGTGGGCACTAATACAGACATGGTACATAGGCATACATATAGGCAAAACATCTATACATATAAAAATAAATATTACAACCATTAAAAAAATGTTAGTCGGGTGATGGCGCACACTTGTAATCCCAGCAGTTGGTAGGTAAAGGCTAGTGAATCTCTTGAGTTCAAGGCCAGCCTGGTTCAGAGAGAGAGCTCTTGAACAGCCAGTTACAGAGAAATCTGTCTGGGGGTGGGGGTGGAGTTAGGGGAGATCTCAAACATTCATTGCTAGACAATTGGAACTTTTGTTGTTGGATATTATTATTATTATGTATAGTGTTTTGTCTGTATGCTTGCTGGCCAAAAGAGGGCACCAGATCTCATTACAGTTGGCTGTGAGCCACCATGTGGTTGCTGGGAATTGAACTCAGGACCTCTGGAAGAGCAGTCAGTGCTCTTAATCTCCAGCCCCTTGCTTTTTTTTAAACTTACTAAAATGAATAGGCTGTTGAACATTCCAGATTCAAGTTTTATACAGAGATGGGCAATGGAATCTTCAATGCTTATTTTAAAGTAAGTTCTTGACTTTAAAAAGGACTAAATTATGGTGAAACTTGTTAATGTCAGTGTTAAGAGGAAGTTAAGGATGCAGTGACATGGGCAACACCTGAGGACTAGGAGGCCTTTTGTTGGTGTGATGGCTTAGGAAAGAAAGCTTTTCTTTCTGTGAGACGC